TATATATATATAGTGTGAGCATAAAATGCATTGTTCTGTAAATTGTGAATAATTTATAAAAAACATTTGAACAAGTAATAAGTAAAGGGAAATATTTAAAGTCCTACATCTGAACTTTTATGCTGATTAAAATGGAAGCCTTATCAGTTTTTATCTCATCGAGAACAAATGAAATTTCTACATGAAGTTCACACCTAAAATAAAGATTTATTAAAGAACATACTGCAAACTGCACCACACACCAAACCACACATGGATCATTGTTAAAAACCTCATTCAGCCCTTAAACATAAAGACAGGCCGTCACATTTAAAGATGGAGGCAGCATCAGACACATAGTCAGTAGGCAGCCACCAGCAGTCTCATTTAAGGAGCATTGAAATCTGTTGTTAGACAAGGGATTAAGAGACAAGCTGCCAGGTAATGAGAGGGCGCTTCACACACGGGAGCCGGGAGAGCAATAGGTGGAGGGGCGGGCAGCTTGGAACCCAACAATGTGCCAAACAATCTTAGTACTTATACCTCCTCAACATAGTCAAAATGTATAATCTCCACAGCACTCCTTGGTGGAGTACCTCAGTAGCAACCTGAGTCACAATTAGCTTTTGGTATTAAACCTATTCATGTCTGGTTAGGGGGTCTGAACTGTCCCCCTAAAGGTTTGTACAGCATTGTTCAACTTGATATAACAATTTTGATGAATTTAGGAAAAAAAGGTTCCCATTTTTACAATTAACTAATAAAGGAAGCTTGTGTGACACAAAAAATGAACAGATTCTGTGATTTTCTGATGTAAGCTTTGTGAGTTCTATAACAAAAAAAAATGTTTAAAGTCCAATAAACATACCTCATTGAAGAAAAAAAAGTAAGTTTTGACAGACAAAAATAAGATTTCTGTTTAGTTGTTGTACCTCAGGGCCACTGTGCTTTTTATACCAAAAGTATCTTAAAGAACCAGACAGTTTCTTTCCTTGAACCAATGATGAACATTAGCATTTCATCGTTTGGTTGACCTTTACTCATAATAGCCCACTGTGAATACATGACCTTATCAGACATTTCCACTTCTTTAAAGATATGAATCTCAGAACTAAAACATGGCTTCGGGTTAAAAATTGAAGATGGATACGACGCCTTAATCTTCCTCACGGCTAGCACTTTTTCATGGGTGAAACAAACTGTTTGAGGGAAACGCACACACACACACACAGACCTCTAAACCAGGGCTCACCGGGAGCTACAATAGCCACGAGCAGCATTCAGACTTACTTTCTGCATGATGTGGTTGACCCAGGGTGACGTGCAGTTGCTGAGGTCAGGGCCTTGGGGATCCCAGTAGCTCACATGGGCCACGCATACAAATGTAGCCACGCCTGCAAGACAAGCCGAGCAAACAGGGTGAGACGAGCCTGACATTCACCAGGAGACAGGAGGACTCTTGTGCTGCTTGGCATTTGGAGCTTGCAGTGTTTGCTTGTGTGAGGAGGGAAGAAATTGAAAAAAAAAATGTAAACTGAACATCTGTTTTGAGATTTTCCACAATGTTGTTACTTCTCTGTAGCTAATTAAAAAAGACTATTGTTTAGTTTGCATATTTGTGGGCATTTATGTATAGTTTTTCTTCTTTTTTTATATAATTTAACTACAGCCATAATTTCTGCTACATTTGCATGTGTATTTAATTACTGTGATGTTTGTTCCATAAGACAGTGTTTTTATCTTTGCAAGTGAATCATCCTCAACATGATTAGAAATGTTTACTGCAGTGTGGCAAAGAGAACAATGGAGTTAAGAAGAGTTTAAGTACCAACACACAATAACAGCAGAATATACAGGGCAATTTATTTATTTATTTATTTATTTATGAGAATGCTGAAGTAGCATTTACATTTTTCTTGTCAGAAGTACAGATTGCTTCACCTTTAGCTTTAGTGTAGTTTTGATGATTTTATTTTATCTTTTCGCTTCATTTTTTTGGCTACAAATTTGCCAATTTAGATTTTGGCTAATTTTAGATTCTAGCTATGGTTTGGGTAATTTTAGCTATGGCTTTTATGATTTTAGAATTCATCTACAGATGAGCTAATTTTAGCTTTAAGCAAGAGTTTAGCTAATCTTACGGCTTTTGGCTGGTTTTGCTGCCTTTAGCTTTTTCCTACTGTTTAGTTAATTTAAGCTTTTAACTTTTCTTACTTTACTTTGTTCAAAAATCACGTCCTTGTTATGATTATTTCAGTTTTAATTGTGAGAGTTGCTTCACTCATTTTAACTTTAACAAATCAGTTTCTGCTTCTTTAATAAATATATATTCAGCAATCAGCAATCACTGCATTTTAACACAAAACTCTCATTTCTTATAAAGTTTTTTTTGTTTGTTTGTGTTTTTTTTACACTAGGCATGTTACACTGATTGTGTTCTTTACACCCTGTGTATTCCATGTAACAATGCAGCTTCCATACCCAGTGTGCCAACAGGACAAGGCTGCTTTGCTGTCTGGCCTTGCTGTGTCCGTGGCCACGATATGTCAGCTGTCACTCTCGGGCTGCAGAAGTCTACAGGGGGCAGGACAGGAGGCTGCGGAGCCGCTGGGGGAACTTGAACAGGTGGGAGTCGTCCCCCTTTCTGATTGGTGTCGGGAATCTGATTAGTGTCAGAAGATGAGCCTCCGGCAGGAACCAGGATGGGCTGGCGAATTGTGGTGGTCGTCCTGTAGCGCTGGCCAGGGGAGGTGGTGAGGAGGGGCCTCGGGGTGGTATAGTAGGGAGGAGAACGGGTTGTGGTGGCGCGGCTGGTTGAAGAAGAGGAGGAACCTCCTCCTCCCAGTGAACCGCCTCCTGACCCTCCTCGGTTTGGTGGGAGCATGGGAGGTGGGCGGTAATCTGAAGAGAAAGAAGACAGATTAATATTACGAAAACAATGATAGCCTGAAGAAGCAGCCAGAATTGTTTTTTTTTTTTTTTTTTKTTATGTGCCCATGATTTCAAGATTGCATTAAGACATTTAAATCAACACAATTAAGAACTGCAGTCAGGAAATTTTCTTTATCAACCCTCGCCAACAGGCAAAATGCAATACCTGTGCCAAGTCAGTTCATGTGTCTTCCATGTTAGCAAAATATCGCATGAACCATTGGGTGGATTTTAATGAAACTCAGAAAAAAATCTCTGTATTCTTTACATTCACCACAATTCAAGAACTAATCAAACTTAGTAAACACAGAAATGTTGGCAACTCAGTGAATTTAACAAAAATTAACCTAAAACATTAGTAGCTGAAGGTCTTGCCCAACACATATCCCAATTACTACAAAAAATATGTGAGATATTTGTTTAAACTTTGGCCTTAACTGTTGAAGTCATCCTGTATGTTGGTAAAATAATTTGTTTTAATATAACTTTCAGAAATTATTCACTGGATCTACATATTTAACCTTTGGAGTCAACTCGATTCAAGATGGCCTTTGGTCCCAGCAAGAATAAAAAGCAATGTAAGTCATTTTTGCACATTTTCACCTTAGGTTTTGTGTGGTAGCAGCAGAGCATTATCTCCAACATACAAATGCTAACAAATCAGGGGAGAACTTGCAATAAACTCTATCATCATTATGCTTTTCTCAGTTTAAAGCTCAGACATGAAAGTTAACAGGTGACACGCATCCTTTTAAGGAACGCTAAGTCTTTGATTATGCAAACAGTGATTCTACAAGCAAAAATAATATCGTCCAGACACAAACACATTTGCAGGCATCGGTTAAACAGCTCTAAGACGCCGTGACAGCGAGTCTCTCATGTTTCTGAAGACTTTCAAATGTTACTGTTTCATCTCTTATCACCGCTGTCACATGTCAGATCTTTGGGAGGTTTTTCATTACTTTTATATGCATGACATTTCTTTACTGTCTGTGAACAATAATAAAGCATAAAATAGTCGACGTGTGCGCTAAAATGGGTGACACTTACTTTCCAGCTGTAATAAATAAACCACAAGTCCTAAATAAGAATAATAATTGCCCTCCCCTGCAACAGATTACCAGTTTCTAAGAAACCTGAGCAATGTAAAGGTTCTAACTCGGTGGGAAAATGTTTTTTTTTTTGCAGTGTCCTGCATGATTCATGACTTAATGACATCCTAAGAGGCAGAAAGGCTACTTAAATGCATATGCCACAGTCTTTATTGTCATTTTTCATCATAAAATGATTTAATTTTTCACACAGACTCTGTTTAAGGGAGAACTGTGAAAAATGGCTGGATAATAGAAGAAGAAGAAAGACTAACAACTGGCATGTCAAACTTAGATAATCTTTGGTTTATTTCTTTTCTGTTGTAACTAGTTGAATTTGAACAGTGCACTTATATACCATGCGTTCTACTGATTTAAAGGTTTAATTTAGACTGTTTGTGGCTGGTTTTGTGGAAAAGTAATGATGTCTTATTTGCTGTTAATAACTCTTTGAATGGACTGAGGAGAATTAGAGTTGGTTCTAGAGCAGTAGACCGCTGCTATATTAAAACTGCTTCAGTCTAAAAAATTAAAAAGAGGTTGATAGTAACTTTTTTTATTATTTTTTAAATTTACTTTTTAGACAATAGAATTCTATGCTTGTAAGTATTACCAACAGCAGCTAGCTGGAGCAGTGCTTCCACCTTGAATACAATAATACTTCTACTGGAATATTCCATACAGACTTCATATATCTCAACTTCTGACTGGAACCTGAAAGTTAAAGCAGGAACAAGACCAATTTTCTGTGCAGATTTAAAAAAATATATATAAAACTTTGCATGAGATTTGTTTCAAATAAGACAACCAGATACACAACCAGCTGAACCAGACAAATCACCAAGCTTTTAGAGCTAAAACACTCACAGGTTTGAGTTACTAAATGTATTTTCAGCAAACTCCTTAAAAAAAAAACAGAAAAACTGACCATGAAGTCCTTTAATGAAGCCCTTTCAGGCGACAAAACATTAGCTATTGGTTTCTGCTTGGAACTAATAATAAAAATGAAACACTGTGAAGTAGGGGTTTAAAGTCTAGCTTGATGTTAAAATTATTGATCTTTTTGATTTTCAGCCAAGGCGAAAAGTACATGTGCTTGTTTTCTTCTCCTGATTTGCCTTGGGCTATAATACAGTATATACAGGTGGTCGTTGCTACTGCAGGTTTACAGATTTGTCAACTCTCAGTGGAGTTGATCTGGACAAAGGGGAAAAAAAAGGCAAGACAAAAACACTGTAATTGTACGACTCTGACTATTACAGCTCATTACAACATGGCATATAGTTGTACATTGGGTCAATACAAGTTTTCTTAAAACTGTATATAAAGTGTACAGTGAGTTGTTTTTGTGTATAATTAGAGGCAACAAGAACTAAAGCTGAAGGGATTGGGTTTCTGCAAGGCATGCTTTAGGGTGTTTGTATGGAAGTTTCTTTTCTGTGCAGCATTTTGACCAATTTATATCTTTTTAAGTTTTTTTTTTTCCCACATTTGTTCCCTTTGAGAGTGATGGGAAAGTGCGAGAGTGGAAAGTGCGAAGGTGTTAAGAACGAGCGGGTGTTCATATTATTTACTGTGAATAGAAAACTACCCACCCTGTGGATTTTAAGTTTCCTTAAAGACGCTGTAAGCTTCCCGCCATCTTTTTGTCTTCCTCCATCTTTCTGTCTGCCTGCTTGACTGACAGCTGTGTAACATCCCTGTACGTTCTGTTCCCCACCGCAGCTCAATGGAGTGTTTCTGTACCTAAACTGTGCTGCTCCCCAATCCTGAAATCTCTGCCGCCCTGCCTCGTGCATTCTCTGTGGAACACTGCCATCAATCAACCGTGGCAGCCGCGGCCTAGCTGTCAATCTGCCTGTGTTTGTGTGAGCGTGTGTACTTATGAAACAGACGCCTGTGTGTGCCTATCTGGACTCAAATGGGAAGCTCCATTAGGGGCCCTGCCACAACAATAGAAGAGTAATGGTGTGTGTGTGTGTGTGTGTGTGTGTGTGTGTGTGTGTGTGTGTGTGTGTGTGTGTGT